AAAAAAAAAACTAAACTGAAAAGGACCAAAATGTCCAAAAGGTCACACAAGGGTTAAGAACTTTCAATTTTTTTTCTTAAGACTGTGTTAAAGACAAAACTTTATTAAACAGAATCATTTGAATTCCTAAAAAAAAATTAGAAAATGAAAAAAACTAACAAACAAAATAAACAAATAGGCCTAAAAATAAATAATCTCTTAAAAGTTAGGATAACCTCTAACTCATCTTAAATCAATGAGTCAAATAAAAAAAAACTGTTTTATGAATTTATTGGGTTGTTTAAATTATTAAGCATTACCAGACTATGGCTACACATATATATTACTACTACTCTGTAAAAGAGGATTGCTTGAAATTGCAAATAAAATAAACAAAACAAAGATTTTTGGAAGTTCAGTCCGTCTACTTCAAAATTTGTTAATTCAAAAAATGATAATATTTTTGAATTTGAATAAAATAATCTTTGTAATTATTTGTAAAAAAAAAAATAATAATAATTACTAGCAATTTCTGAGTTAATTAATTTTTTTGGGCATTAAGAAATTATTTTTCTCGGCCCCCCCAATCATCAATACTGTAAACAAGTGGTTGGTTATTATTATGAGTGACTTTTTCCTAAATCTGAAATTCAGTAACAAAAAAAATAAAAATCAAATAGAGATCTCGTTTTTAATTGTATTATTAATTGTGTAATTGCAAGGCCTCAAAGAAAAAAAGATCTTAAGAAAAATACGAATTTTTAATTAAAAAGTTTGAACTTTTTAGAATTTTCAGGAATTCAACTTAGCTACATTCTTACGATTTTCTCAAGAAATGTCTGTCTTGAGAAGTTTTTTGTGCATCTGTCCACACAAGCAGCAAGCATTATGAAGTCTCTGCTGGGTTTCTATCCACACGTTTTGTTGTGTCACTGTAAATCGCTATCAGTGTGAACAGCCGTCTCAACACCCCAGGTTAGTGTAACTTAAACCTGGAAACATTCTCAACAGGTTAATTAGCATGTTAGCGATCAGCTGAGTTACCTGTATGCGAGCCTCGTTGAGTTTGGTGGCTCTGGCGAGCTCCTCTCTGTAGTAGATATCAGGATAGTGGTTCTGTCTGAAAGCTAGCTCCAGCTGTTCCAGCTGCTCGTTGCTGAAGGTAGTGCGGTGTCTCCTGCGGGATGGCGAGGGGTACGGTCTCACTCGTCCTCCGCCACCCCGGATGCTCTCAGATGTCCCAGAATCTTTTCTTGGGTGATTTTGAACATCTGCATCCAATAGGGTGAAATTCAAAGAGCCACATTCATTATGAGAAGAACAGAAAGAGTCTTGACTCAGCCAGGTCTCTCTCTAGTTACAAGCAATTTCCTATTGCCAGTGAGAGTTTCATCAAGCACTGACGCCTCTGAGATGTTGGATTTGTAGGTACACATCTCTCAAATGATGCTCACTGAAGACGGAGGATTTAAGAGCCTTAGTGCTTCCAAACAAACGTCCAGGAACTCAAAAGACAGCAGGCTTTGCCACCTAAACTCAATATCGTGAGAGAGAGGCATGCCAGGGCCCTGAGGATTACGCTCAGCTTAGGCAAACAATGGCCAAAAAAGTGACTAATTTGTCAAATTGGGGGCCTCTTGGTTTCCAGGGCCTATTCACAACATTAGGGTAAAGAGTGAAAGTGCATCAAACTTACCTTAAAAATGGATTTTTGAATGTCATACTGTGCAGTGTTATTTTTGTATCACTTATATAGTACTATAGTATATACTATAATATACTTGTTTTTTTTATTCGTTTGTATTACTTAAAATAATAACTTAAACTCATTTCAGCTGCTTTTCTTATTTTTATTGTTATATACATTAAAAAATTGTTCAAGTAATAATTTTTATTAAATTTTTTTGTTAACGATAATAACCCTGACTCTACCTAATGGATTATAAAAAAAAACACACCTCGAAAAGAGTAATTGAAACATGGTATTTCAAGTCAGATAGACCACAGAAAAGATTTTCAATACAGCTTATTTTTAATTTTCAGCATTACAATATTTTGACAATTTTATATTTGAAATAAACTAAATAAATAAAATAAACACCTAAAGACTAAACAAAAAGTGCTGACTGATATAAGCATATTATGTATTAAAACCACAGTCACAACTTTCTCGAACACTTGCTGTTCTAGTTTCTCTTTAACATTTTTATATCAGCTTTAGATTTTTTGTGCTACTCTAGTTTACTCTTGAAAGTTGCCATTGGAGAATGACAAAATTCTTGTAATTTGTAAGTTGCTTTGGATGAAGGCATCTGCTAAATTACTAAATTGTAAATATTTGTCATCGAAATTTCAAAGGAGTTCTTACCTGCACTTGAGCTAACGGTGACCTCAGAGTAATTTTCAGAGAACTGTTGCTGAGATTTGTCTGTGTCCATTTCAAACTCTCTCTGGTTTGACCCCCGTCCTAACCGAACTCTGCTTTTTCACCGCTATCAGGTGTGACATCAGAGCAGTCACACCTCTCACCCTGTGCTGAAGCCCACAGTGACATGTACCTGTCAGTGTGAGTTGTAAAATAAAACTGTAATGAATTTAGCTTGCTGACATAAGCATAAGTAAAAATGTTCCTAATAAATCTGAGTCTCAGTGGTGCAGTGACAACTGAATAATAATATTGGAATTTTGGAATATTGTAATTGACAATTTCCACCACCAGAGGGAGAGTAAACATAAATAGACACAAGAGGCTACAGTCTCTGGATCCACTTGAGCACAAAGCAATACAGCCAAAGTAATGTTTCAGTTTAAACAATACATGTTAAGTAATATTTGGGATCTGGGAATATAGCATATCTTTATGTTTTGAACATGTGTTATGTTATCACCTCATATATTTGAGACCAATTAAAAGTGATTAAAATAGTCCACCAGTTTATTCCACTTGCTGCATATTATGGTAAAAGGATTAGAAAAAATAAATACATACTAAAAATACTCACCCTGGAGAAATTTAGCATTACATCACTGGCTCACTAATGGATCCTCTGCAGTGAATGGGTGCCGTCAGAATGTTTCTTACAAACACACAGCTTTTCACTTCACAAGGCGTTGATTGATGAAATGGAGTCATGTGGATTACTTGTGGATTATTGGGATGTTTTATTAGCTGTTGCACTTTTCTCAAAAAGTTGTGTTTTTGTACGAATCAAAATGTACAAATTCACACAAATTCACCCCCAGTTGGCTAAACTGTAAAATAGTTATGAACTGCCATGGGAGTTTGTTCCAGAAAACAGTTTTTTTTCTTTTTGATTAAACATTAATCTGATTATTTGTTTGTCAAGCATGAATAATCAAATTGGTTCTGCTAGACCAGACTGAAGAGCTATACGGGATAAAAGTCAGTAAGGCCTCAGAGTCAGAGACATGGCAAGTATGAGCGTCATTTTTTGCCAAAGTGGGTGACTTAGTGTTCCTGAGGGAGTCTACAGTCAACCCGGACCTGGACTGCCAGGATCTGCCTGTTCTTTTCCACAGTTGAGACATGATTTATTCAAGAAGAAAAGAAAGTGAGTTGCGTTCACATGCTGTTCACTAACCTCAACATTAAACCTCAGAGTAGCTTTTGCTCTGAGTGTCACTGAGGTGATGATGACTGAGTGTAGTTACACCTGTCCTGCAGAGAACCAACAGATCCTTCTCAAGTAACTCAGTCGACTTTACTGTGCTCTTTTCAGCAATCTTATCTATCTATCTATCTATCTATCTATCTATCTATCTATCTATCTATCTATCTATCTATCTATCTATCTATCTATCTATCTATCTATCTATCTATCTATCTATCTATCTGTCTGTCTGTCTGTCTGTCTGTATTCGTTTGTCCGTCTGTGTCTGTCTGTCTGTATTTGTCCGTCTGTGTCTGTCTGTCTATCTATCTGTCTATCTATCTGTCCGTCTGTCCGTCCGTCTGTCTGTCTGTCTGTCTCTATCTAGTCGTTCGTCTGTCCGTCCGTCCATCCGTCTGTCTGTCTGTCTGTCTGTCTGTCTGTCTGTCTGTCTATCTATCTATCTGTCCATCTGCCTGTCTATCTGTCTGTCTGTCTGTCTGTCTGTCTGTCTGTCTATCTACCTATCAAAGGAAACCAGTGCGCCTGCCTGCCGTTATTTGTTGGGTGTTCAAGTAAGCTTGATAAAAAAAAGTAACCCACCAAATTGGCTAGTAATTTGCCAGAGTTAATTTGAACAGCGGGTGTTAATTTCAAACCCTGTATCTATCTATCTATCTATCTATCTATCTATCTATCTATCAAGATTTGGCTACTATTTTACATATTCCTTATCATTTTTAAAAATTTTTATTTTAAAGTTAAAAGATAAAGATATTGAGATACGTAAATGTAAAATCTAAACTATGAAAGCACGTTAATGTTCTTATTTTTGTCATATAGAACCATTGTGCTGTTCATATAGAGTAGAATTAGTAAGACTTCTGCTGTACTAATGCCTAATGTCTACGACTGCTGTTAAGCATTGAAGCCTTGTGTAAGAAAGAGCTCAAATGAAAAGGAAGCAGATGGGTGTGTATGAGTAGGGAGGGTCAGCCCAAGGGCCTGTTCCCAGAGCTGGAAAATCACAGGGACTAGCCAAACTCTGCAGACCCCCAGAACGCTGTGGTCAACCTGCCCCCAAGACCTTCGGGAATTTCCAAAAGTCTGAGGAATTCTGACTCAGCCTAGTCCCGGTACAGAACTGGGAGGAGGTTCTGCCTGTGAGGCCCATAGTTTAACCACAAACATACACTCACAAGCGCATACATGTGCATGTAACATTTTATTGATACTCAGAGAGGAACTCTGTCTGTCTGTCTGTCTGTCTGTCTATCTACCTATCAAAGGAAACCAGTGCGCCTGCCTGCCGTTATTTGTTGGGTGTTCAAGTAAGCTTGATAAAAAAAAGTAACCCACCAAATTGGCTAGTAATTTGCCAGAGTTAATTTGAACAGCGGGTGTTAATTTCAAACCCTGTATCTATCTATCTATCTATCTATCTATCTATCTATCTATCTATCTATCTATCTATCTCTCTATCAAGATTTGGCTACTATTTTACATATTCCTTATCATTTTTAAAAAAATTTATTTTAAAGTTAAAAGATAAAGATATTGAGATACGTAAATGTAAAATCTAAACTATGAAAGCACGTTAATGTTCTTATTTTTGTCATATACAACCATTGTGCTGTTCATATAGAGTAGAATTAGTAAGACTTCTGCTGTACTAATGCCTAATGTCTACGACTGCTGTTAAGCATTGAAGCCTTGTGTAAGAAAGAGCTCAAATGAAAAGGAAGCAGATGGGTGTGTATGAGTAGGGAGGGTCAGCCCAAGGGCCTGTTCCCAGAGCTGGAAAATCACAGGGACTAGCCAAACTCTGCAGACCCCCAGAACGCTGTGGTCAACCTGCCCCCAAGACCTTCGGGAATTTCCAAAAGTCTGAGGAATTCTGACTCAGCCTAGTCCCGGTACAGAACTGGGAGGAGGTTCTGCCTGTGAGGCCCATAGTTTAACCACAAACATACACTCACAAGTGCATACATGTGCATGTAACATTTTATTGATACTCAGAGAGGAACTTCTCTTTTCCCAATTTCCTGGGGCTGAACTAAGAGTGACCTGGCTGGCTGTCCTTCAGCCCTGATGGAAGGAATGTAACCCAACACTCTCTGCCCTGTCTTAGTGGCTTGCATGTCTGCATATGTGTGCGCACATGAACAACAGGGTGATGGAGACACAGATTCACCCTTTTTTCCATTTATTAAGGAAATAGCCACAATTGAAAGAGATATGAAGTACATTATTTACCAAAAAATATATTAGCTATATACAAATGTACAGTACTTTTGACAAATATGTTTAAAATGGTGTCTAAAATATTGGATTCCTATCATACCTGAAAACAATGTAACATAAAATATATAATATAACATATAATACACTATAATAATTGATTACTTGCTACAAAACATCTGACGAAATATCAGCAATATATATATTTTGCTTATAAAAATGAAATACACTTTTGACAAATTTGTTTAAAATTATGTCTAAATGTTATTTTATTCTACCTATATTTTATTCTATTATTTTACATTTTCTTTTAGATTTTTATTTATTTATTTGATTGATTGATTGATTGATTGATTGATTGATGGTGTAGTTACACCATCTACCAGCAGGGTCAAATTAAGTAATGCTATTAGCCAAACTTTACCCCTTAGTTGGCCCTCATGGTGTCTGCCATGTTAAAATCACATCACCACCTAAATATCACTCATTTAATCTTGGTAAACTCCCCCACTATCACACCATTTGAGTTGGGGAATAAACTCAAGGGAGACAAACATGCCTGCGAGAATAGGGTATTTCTACAATGGTATTTGAAAACTGGTATTGGCCAGCAAAAATAAACAAAAAATGACTTGTTAGTGCACTGGAGACTGAATGTTCTTAACTGATTACAGTTGTTTTTGTGGTTTATGAAAATGACATTTTCGTGCAGTCTCGCACACATGGTCTTCATGAAAGACGTCAGTGCTCTAACAACAGACAGATATCTTTAAACTGTACTGGACAGATTTGTGTCTCGCCAACATATATCTCTTTGGTGACTCTCCCATTCATTTGTATATGAGAACACAGACTCGTGTGCAAGGTGAAAGAGAAAGTTTTATCAATGGAGACTTGTGCGATAATAAACAGGTTTATATCCATAAAGGACTTTATTAGCCTATAAAAGCTGCTCCCAGTGCAGCTAGACAGGCAATTATCCAGCTGTCTGCATTCCCCCTCCCACATAGTATACACTTTTCTCTAGCAGTGAGAGGGAGATGTATAGTCTGCTGAGGTTCGCTAGTGATTTGCAAACTCTTGTGTCTGGAGCACGAACTGCTGTAAGTGAGTGGCATAGTGGAATTTTCACCCGTCCCAGCGGTCTTGACCTCTCAGTATATGCCTGTAGCTGTCTGGAGAGAGAGAAGAAACACAGGTGCTTCCACGGGATCTCAGATGGGACTGCGCGAAACAGGATACCACCGTCGCTCACAGGCATCCAGACAACACCTCGGCAAATCTACCCAGCCAGACAAACTTGCCAACAATTCGCACACACACACCACGCCAGCTCCGGCTCATTTTCAGGAACTTTCCAAAACAGAAAAGGGGGGAGAAAACAATTTTTTAACTCATGTAAAAAGCCGCCACCACCACAACACTAGGTTGCTAGAAAATAGCCCATCCCAAAACCTCCACAGGATTTTTTCCCCGGCAATTTTATTGTTTAGCAACCAAAATTCATACATTCGAAAACTTGAAAAAGTGACAGCCCATTTCTTTTAAACAAGCATTTCTGTCCATAGCGCCAAATGGTTGAGTTA